GAGAGAGAGAGAGAGAGAGAGAGAGAGAGAGAGAGAGAGAGAGAGAGAGAGAGAGAGAGGTGCAAACGGTCCAAAAAGAGACAAAACGAAGAAAGAAGATGGCCGATCACATGAATGCCCAATCCTTGGTGAGATGAGAGGCACATAAATTGAGATGAGATGCACATAAATTTGAAGATCAAATCAGTGATAAGATCAGTCCTCTGCATCTTGAATGCTCCCAAGGACGAAAGAACCCCCCAGAGCGGCAACGCAACCAAGGCCAAATGCTCCTGCCAGAACGTACTGCACTACAACCTGAAGTGTTGTATCATCTGGGATAAGAACCAAGCTCAAAATGGACGCAACGAAAAGAGGAAGAGCGTACGACGCTATCGTTGCAGGTGAGGTTGTGGCCAAGCTTTCGGCAAGAGAAAGGAGACCCAATTCCTCCGCCTTGGACAACAAACCCATTTGCTCAATCTTCGACAGAGAAAAGCCTGCGCTCTCCGCCTTCGACAAAAGCCCTGCCTTCTCGACAGTGCTGAGCACCTTCAGCTTCTCCAACTTGGAGAAAATGTTCACGTTGTTCTCCTCGATATCCTCCAGAAAGATGCCCGCACCAAACCATTGCTTGTTCCATGAATCATCGTAGCTGTTCACCTTTACACAAACAACCACAGTTTCCCACTTGAAAGCCAGCCTCGTGCCCCGTTGAACCCCATTGAACCCCCTCAAACTTTCAGTTCTGCCAATTTTCAGAAACAAAGAGAAAATCCTTCACATGTTCGCATCGAACAGGGTTCGATTTGTGAATCCCATTACATCATCCACATGAGAAAATGTGCGCACAGAGAGCGAGAGCGAGCGAGCGAGCGAGAGAGAGCGAGAGAGAGAGAGAGAGAGAGAGAGAGAGAGAGAGAGAGAGAGAGAGAGAGAGAGAGAGAGAGAGAGAGAGAGAAACCAGGTAGGAAAGTGCCAACGCATAGCCGCAAACGAGCAAGCATGCAGCAAGCAGCAAGCCCAAGTAGCACTGCTGCCATTCCGTTAAAATGGACATTTAATATTTTTTGAAAGAAATTGAAACCGACTTATTTGGCCCAAAAAATGTCAACATTTTTAGCTCCTGAGGGTCCCGCGTTATTTTTTTTCAAACGTCGAACCCCCTGGACGTATCTGGACTTCATTTTAACGAAATGGCTGCTCATGGTCGCAACACAGTACAAAGCAAGTGGGCTAGCAGTGCGGCACCGCAAGGCAGCAGAAGAGCAAGGCAGATAGGCAGCAGTAAAGAATAGGGCGGACAGGCAGGACACAAAGCAACAAGACAAGTAACAGCTATGCAAAGAGTCAAGTGAGTGGCCCCGCAGGCAGCAGAGTGAAGGCTGCAGAGGGCACGCAGCAGAGGGAAGACAGCAGACAGCAGGCAGCAAAGGGCAGGCAGCAGAGGGCAGGCAGCACGGGAACCAAGAAGCTATCGACAAGGCAAGCAAAGGAGCAGGAAGGCGGACACCGACAAGGCCGAGCAGTAGGGTAGCAAGGCAATGCAAGGCACGTGGGCAAGCCAGCATAGCGGCAGACGACAAGCGGACGGGCAGACAGGCTGCGGGGCAGCACATACATGGCAGTCCACACATACAGCATAGACCAACACAGAACATCACCTACACACACACACACAAAAAAAAAAAAAAAGAACATCACCTACACACAACGGAAGTTGAACTCTACATACTGTAGGTTCATGCCCACCATTAGAGTCAACGTGTCACTTTGACCAATGCCCGCGGCCATCACCAGTGGAAAATTGGAAACACATAGGAGAACATGGGAAACGGCCAGAGCATGGAAAGGAGAATAAGGTGTGCGTGTGTGTGTGTGTGTGTGTGTGTGTGTGTGTGTGTGTGTGTGTGTGTGTGTGTGTGTGTGTGTGTGTGTGTGTGTGTGAAAGATCCCCAAATCATCTCCTCATTCCAACCACAAACGATCACAAACCATCCATCAAGCAAGAAAGGTATATATAGGCAATGTATGAGAAGATGCAAGGTTGCCCACGTTTGTGTGGTTGAGCGGCAAGTGCCCATACACCCGTCTGTGTGTGTGTTTGTGAAGATGCAACCCCTTCTCCACCCAGATGCATAGATACCATACTTGGAACACACGTTTTCTTCCTTTTTCTCTCACCCAGATGCATAGATACCACGTTTTTTTCCTTTTTTCTAACACACACACACACACGCACACACGCACACACACACACACACACACACACACACACACACACACACACACACACAGCCCCTTCTGTACAGTTCTCACATGATTATAATGTTTAGGCGAAACGGCTCTTTCACTGGTGTATTCTGAATGGTGCAAGGCCTGCCACATCTGTGTACTTGAGGACAGGATGCCTACACCTGTTTGCCTTTCAGCAGACCTTCACGGTTTCACCTTCCATTTTGTCTGTTCTCGTAGTGATGCTCATGTCTATGCATCGAGCAGTTCTAGACAGAGGGAATACTAGGGAGGGAGGGGAGAAGGAAGCAAGAAAGGGGGAGTCGAATAATCCACATTAGCAGTCAAATAGCCACCTTGTTCCCTTTTTTTTTCTTTTCCTTTTGGTGGGGGAGGGGGGAGCCAGTAATCCATCATGGGGACATAAAGTTGTCAGCATTCCTTTTTTTTAACCCAAAAAAAACATTCTTTTTTTTAACCCAAAAAAAAAAAAAAAAAAAAGTTGCTACCATTCCCAGAACTCAGCAGAGATTCAAGTTCAAGGGGAAGATATCCAAAGGTGTGACAGGTCTTACACAACATTGTGACAACAAAGCCAGTTGAGCACCTCTCACCGTGGGGAGTCCCTTTTCTGGGGAAAATGGTACTATGTACTCGCTGTAGGAACAATGGAGATCGATGTGTGTTGCTCGACCACAGCAGCATACACGCTTTGGGGGGGGGACGGGCGAGGGGAAGAAAACAACAACAACAAACAAACAAACAAACATACAAACAAACAAACAAACAAGCAAACAAAAAAACAAAAAAAACAAAAAAAACAGAAACAAAACAAAAAACAAAACAAAACAACAACAACAAGCAAACAAGCAAACAAGCAAACAAGCAAAACAACAACAACAACAACAACAACAACAACAAAAAAAAAAAAAAAAAAAAAAAAAAAAAGACACAGAAACAAAAGCAAAAAACTTGAAAAAAGCATATTCTATAACTGGGGGCCTAGACAATAGTTCCCCCCCAAAAAGTTGCCAAAAAC